TTTTCACAATTCCTCTTTTCGACAAACAAGTAAGTATTTTCAATTTACGCAGATTGTTATTAATTATACCAACAATATATATATATATATATATATATATATATATATATATATATATATATATATATATATATATATATATATATATAATTCCCATTCTCATAAAAAAAAACTATTTTCAATTTATTCTTTATTATTCTCTATTATTTTCTATATTATTCTCAATATGTCTCGTAGAGGTTCTTCTTCCAAATCGAAGGCTTTAATGCCATCATCATCAACATATATTCCGATTATGGAAAAAGAAGATGATAATCCTCAATATGAGAACTATGAAGGGGGAGATTTTCGCAATTTTAAAAGTTTTTTGAGTGAAAATGAAGAAGAAGTTGAGGAGGTTCAACCGACTCCGGCACGGCGGGGGCGGGGCAATCGAACTTCGGATTCAACCGCTTCGGGGCGGCCTCTACTCGAGATTCAAGTTCTCACAACGATAACAAAAGGGTCCGGTCCGATGTCTGGATTTTTTTCGACCAAGTTCATCTTCCAAACGGAGAGTTGGAAGTGCATTGCAAATTTTGCACGGTAAATATAATGTTCTTTTTTTTCAAAGTTAAATTATTTACTTTTATTTACGAATATTAGTAGTTTTTCTAACATTTTTAACTCTTGTGTAGGTCAAATACAAGTTCAAAAGGGTGGTGGTTATGGTTCGTTTAATAAGCACACCCAAGCGAAGCATCCGGTGGAATTCGGCCTCGAACGCAATCAATCGCAAATTCCTTCATATGCAACCGACTCCAACGAACCTGTGAAGGACAGTGAGCTTAATTTATTTAAGTATAATGATTTAAAATTAAGAGAATAAATGGCTAAACTAGTTGCGGTAGGGCATCTCTCTTTTAGTTTTGCGGTAAAAAACTTTATTCACCGATTTATGAGGGCGTCCTTAAGTCCACTTGCATGCAAAATTCCAGGCACCACATTAACTAGAACATTTTAGATTTTAACTAGAAGTGATAAAGATGATTTGACTACGCAATTCTTGAATTTTACGGGTATTGTGTGTATTTGCTCCGATATTTCGAGCGTTCATTGGCAAGATGATTCATATATGGGTGCTAAGGCACATTGGGTTGATGATTCGTGGATTCTTTAAAAAAGAGTCATTGCATATAGAATTTTTACAGAAAAAAGTCATACCGCACATAATATTTCTCATATACTTCATGTCATTTTAGGAGAGTATAATTTAATTGATAAAGTGTTCTCAATTTCATTTGATAATGTTAGTGCGAATACCGCTAAAATATTTTTTTTGAGAAAGATAGCTAGACCGACATTTAATGGTAAGTTTGTGCATGTTAGATGTATTTGTCATGTTTTAAACTTATGTGTTCAAGATGGTTTGAAAATGCTTGAAAATTAACTTTTACCAATTCGAGATATGATAAGGTATTTATGGAGAAATCCATCCATTAAAAAAATGGTGTTTGTTTTGTAAAGCGAATGGGAAACGTCCGATTTTTTTGTCAAAGGATGTCCCAACACGTTGGAATTCAACTTTTAAATTGTTACTACAAGTTTATGATTACAAAATATGGTATGCGCTTTTTTTAATGATATTGGTCATTATTCTTTCACACTTATGCCTTGCCAACGGGATTGTTGCAAAAAGATTTATAACCTTTTGCAGGTTTTAATGCATCTACCGATGAACTATTCGGTGCCTATTATCCAACTTCTCATTCAGTACTTTTGCATTTTATTAATGTTTCTAGTGCATTTAAGGAATCATCGGATATTTTTGAATTGCATGATACAGTTAAAGTTATGCAAACTAAGTGGGAGAAATATTATTTGGTTGCCCTTATTTTAGATCCTTGATGTACACTTGAATTTGTTGAAACATTATTGAGTATGTATTATGGAGCACTGCGTCCGAAACTGGAACATGTTGAGAACAATGTTACTTTGGTTGCAAATGCCCTTCGAAAGGATAAGCTTTCTTTCGTTACATTATATGGTGAATACAACGCAAAATACGAATGTGCACTTCCGGATACTTCTACTTCTTCTTCTACTTCTTCATTTTCGAATTATTCTTTAGCACAACGTTTATTAACGGAGCACCCAAGGGTTTCCAACTCAAGTTCCACTCCGGAACTTGAGATGTATTTAACTTGTTCTTTTGAGTATGATGTAGATCCCGCTAACTTGAATTTACTACAATGGTGGTCGACCAAAAAGACCAAATTCCCAATATTGGCACTTATTGCTAAAGATGTTCTATCTTCTTCGGTTAGTAATTGCCTTAGAACAAGCCTTTATATGGGTAGCAACATCTTGGATGAAAGGAGATCGTTATCACATGCAAATAATTTGGAAGTGTAAGTACTTTTGAACGATTAGACAAGGGCCGAGTATCGTGTACAAGGAGATAAGGAATTGGAAGACAATGACGAATTCGTAAATATCGACGCGTCTGATACCGATAGGCGATAGGTAAGTAAGGTAAGTAAGAACTGTGTGGCTTTGATTCATTTTGTTTAAAAAGGATACGTAGGCAACTTAATTCCTAGAAATTAAAGTTTAACTTTAAACTTTGAAATTTAAAAATTAATTGCAAGCCCTTTCAATTTATTTTCTTCTCTTTTTTTAATTTTTAAAACTAAAAATAATTCCTTCAAACTTTTTAAACGTAAGAAAATATTTTTTAAGTATTGTAAAAAAAACATAAATTAAGTATTTTTCTTAAGTAATTATATATATATATACATATATATATATATACATATATATATATATACATATATATATATATACATATATATATATATATATATATTTTGGAATCGAACCGTTGAGAACCGGATATTTTCAGGTCGGTTCCTGTTCCTCCAAAATCGAAACCGGAACCGGAACTGGCGGTTTGGAATCGGAACCGGAACCAAACCGAACCGTGGTCAAGTCTACCCTCGGCAACAAGTTCGTCATTGGTGATCACACCCCCTAAGGCAAAGAGCTCCTTCAACAGAGGGAACGACGCATAGCCGTCGGGAGAGAAGTGAATCTTCTCAACCGGATGATCTACGCCATAGATCCTGATACAACAGGTATCATGAATGCTTGTGTTGCCGCGGAGGTTCTCCTCGAAATGAACCCCGAAGTAGAGCTTCCCGACCTGAGAAAATAAGAAGACGTCGTGCAGGCCTTGACTACTATGATTCAAGGAGCACTCGGCGAGAAGCTTCGAGGTCAATGGCAGCTCGCTTTGGGGCATTCCCCACTCGAATATGCCCATTTATCCCGACCATTATGGAACAAGTATTGTCTCTCAGATTTAGAATCCCCATTCCCCCCAGTTCGATGAGACCGAAGATCTTTAAAATCACTTAAATAACTTCTACGCCAAGATTGATCTCTACGGCCTCAATGACACAACTTACTGCAAGATTTTTCATACCACACTAACCGATCAAGCATAAATTTTGTTCAACGACCTGCCTGGAGGGTCTATAGATTGCCTGACCATCTAGTGACGTCTTTTCTTAGCCAATACTCCATATAAGAAATACGCCAAAACTGTAGAATATCTCTTCAAAGTCATACAACGCGATGGAGAGTCACCCAGAGATTACATGCAATGATTCGTCAAAACGGTACATGAAGTGCACCATGTTAATCACGAGCTATTAGCTAGGATACTGCAACACAATTGGAAACATGCTCGTTTTCAAGAGTCCATCACGGTCCGACCCCCTCTAACCGAAGATGAGCTTTTCAACCGTGTCGATAAGTATATTCGGATTGAAGAGACCATAGAGATGGGACTCCCCGCCAAGTGTATTTTGATAGTGAGCGTCACAGGGATATTAGAGCTTGGGTTGGATAACCGAGCGCAACTGAAAAAAATATCCTTAAAAATTGTAGAGCTTCTATGGAGGGGGGGGGGGGGGGGGTATCTGTTGCCCCCCAGAATTTTTTTTTAATTTTAATACTATATATATATATACTAATACTTATAGATATTAGATGGATATATACACAAATAATTAGTAATTGGTTGGTATATTAACTTTTATCTACTATTATATATATTTTTTATTTACACATATTTATATATGTCCACATTAAAAAATAAATTATTATCTCGACCTTTTAAATTAACTTTCTATTATAATTTATCCTATAAAATATTTTTACAATACCAATCCCTAATCTCTATTAAAGCTTATGATAAAAAAAATAATCTAACATAAAAAAGAAAATATTTATTTTCTTTCTTCTCAATGTTTAAAGTTTTCAATCCATCCAATTTCTATGTATTTCAAGATTTTGTTTTTAAATACTTTTACTTATTCAACTAAATGTATACTATATTACAATTTATTTACATAAGTTTATGAATATTGTTTTGACAACAATATATATTACTCATTACTTATTTGTGTTGGTTTTCTTCATAAATATCCCTAAAAAAATTCGGGGGCGCTGCCCCGGAACCCCCACCGTATATTTATTAATTAACTCTCTAATTAAAGTTTTCGGCCCCCCACCAAAAAATCCTGCACTACAAGAAAAGTGATTTTTTACAACTTGGATTCAACAACATGCAGGTAAAGCATGTTGTGATATTAAATATTTGACAACATGCTTTAAATGCATGTTGTTGTTAATCTTAAATATATGTATTTTACAAAATGCGTAGATTTCCTATTGTTAAAATATTTTACTACAACATACATGCGCGACTTGTAGAATAGATTAAATATAACAACAATCATTGGTGTATTGTAGTTTAAATTTAATATAACAAGATTCGTAAGTCTGTTGTCGAATATCGTAATTTAAATTTATAAAATAATATTAAATATAACAATTTACCTATGTGTCTTGAAATTTAAAAAAATACACGATATGATAAGATCTCCTTACCCTTTCTTAATTAATGTTTATTTATTTCATTCCTTAGAATTTTTATTTTTTTCTCATCAGACGTTTTTTTCTCTCTCGCCCACGTCTCTCCATCTTTCTTTTTTCCCTTTCCGAACGATTCTTCTTCTCGCAGCCACCACCGCGCCAACCCCGGCCGGCACCACCGCGCCACCACCGGCCGGCACCACCACGCCACCATCGCGCCAACCTCGCCACCACCAGTACCCTTATCTCTATTTGTCGCTGAATTTAAATCATATCAAGGACCGGCCATCGCCGCTACCACCGCGATACAACCAGTCTCTCTACAAGTCGGGTAGTTTTTTTTCTCTTGGCATCTCTTAAATTTTGAGTTATTGCTGTAATAAGTGATACTTTTGCGAAATTGGATTGAAGAATAAATTGATTTTACTGATTGAATCTAATTTAGGAATTTGAAAATTCTTTGATTCAATAATTTTAGATTACCAGTGACTACTTTTCAATTTTCTTTCGGAATAAATTGCTGCTTCTTTTTGAAGACTATGAAAAGGAAGCAAAGTCAATCGTGTAATACTTATGTGCACAATGTTTTAGTTTTTATGTGCCTAAACAGTTGACAGAAGTGCTAGGGTCCATTAAAAAATCTAAATAGTTGCCTAACTTATTGTTACACTATTGACTTTGCTCCTTTTCATTTGGTTCGGTGGATGGTTTATAAAGTTTGATTTTGTAAATTTAGGAATTTAAGTTTATAAAAAAATTAATCAATTAGCATCTATGTAGATTTTGTGTATCTATCTTGCTTCTCAGTGTGGTAATCTATGCAAATAAATTTTTATACTCCAAGAAATGAAGAGTAATTCTCTTCTAGCTTTTGTCTAATATGTGTTATTTTAACTTTTCAGGAGATTGAGTAACTTCAGACTTGGATTGTGTTTAAAGAATAAGGTATTATTGTATTACTTGTGTGATTGGGACTATTTGGGACATTGAATTTCTTGCATACGGTTTGTGTAGTGAGACAGTTAATCTACCTTTTCTAATTCCAAGTGATTGTACTTGTAACTACATGACAATTTAAAAGCAACATATATTATTATTTATTTCAAAGAAAACCGTCTGCCCTTATGATGAAATTATTACAAAGAAAACAGTTTCTTACATGATCATGTGAGGCTACCACTTGACATATTTATTTTCTTTTATCTTTTTATTATGACAGGCTATGATGAAATTGATGGCACATTGTAATGAGAAGAGTTTTGAGGTTGAGGATTCTATTCTTTGACCTTTCCTTCTTTGCTTCGGTAATTATTTATTTCATTCTCAAGTACTATGTCTATAACTACGCTTTCTTCCATTTTAGTGTTATGGTTTTTGTTAATGCAGATAAGTAAACAGAAAAACCCTTGAAGGTAAGTATACAAGTTTGGTCATTTCTTGAAGCTTCTTTTTTTATTTATCATCTTGCTGTGTTTTGATCGTTTTCTTGTGGTTTGAAAAGTACTTTACCAAGATATAATGAACTTAAAAGGAGTACTCTAATTTCGGTAAGCAGTCTCTGAAGAGAAGATTCATCTGGTGAGTGTTCTATAATTGAGTTTTCTGTGGTTTCTTGTAACCGGGACAATACACATATAGTGAGTTAGTGAGTGTCTTGGGTAATATGTTTTTACACTTAGAGAATTCATGTTTTACGTTTTTACCTTCATAGCACAATATTATTATGGATACTGATAAGTGTCTAGTGTGAATGTTTTCATAATTTATTCCTTTATTCTTTTCTTATATAATATTTTTATTTGGACATCAACTAACAATACTTCTTGTTATTTTCAGCTTATTTTGATAAACTATTGGAGCACTTGTTATCGAAGAACCTAATTGAGTTATACGGTTGAGTAACATTGTATTGATGATTTTCGACTACGGGAGACTTGAGAATTAGTTAGACATAAAATTAATTAGTTTTGTTTGTTGACTGCATGATATGAAATTATAGTACTGTTTGATAGTTTTGTATTTCATAATTTTTCGTTTATTTAAAATTTTATTGGATCGAAATTTATTGGAAGTATGACTTCTCTGCATATTTGATCATGATTATATGAAAATATTTTTTTTTCTAATAATAAGCTATTCGACAAGGTGCAGTTGAATGTTGTCAAAACTCTACAGCAAGATACCACAGTGGCTTGTTATAAGGTCTGTAACAACATACAACAGCAGCTTGTGAATACCTTACCACAACATAATGTGCTTGTTGCTACAATGTGAACCACAACGTGCAACGCAACTCGCAATGCACGTTGTTAAATTCCGAAGGCTTTAACCACATATTGGTCTACAACATTCACATGCGCGTTGTCTATCTAGTTTAACAACGTGTGTTGCATGTTGTCAAATGGTCTTTTTCTTGTAGTGCTGGTTCTGCCCGTGTCTATGATACCACCTGTGACGTCTAATTCTACTATCAAAATAAAAGGTATTTCGATAGTAGGCTTCACAAATACTATCTCTGCTAAAATTACATTTCTTTCAACAAGTGAGATTAACATTTTTTGGCAGGACATGCATCAAAGCGACGAGCAATTGAAGATCTTGTATAGTTCTACCAATTGAAAATCATAAGTATTTTGGAGGCAACTCCCACTAAAAATGTACGGATTCCTGAACAAATAGCTAATTGTATGACTATTTTTTTTATATTAAAGTTGTGTTTTCTTTTTTGTCCATAGACGTATTAGATATGCATTGAAACGAATAATTGGTAATATGAGTGGTCTTATTTTCATCGGTAGACAAAAACTTGGGAAGACAAACATTTTTTTGGATCTTGTGAATTTTAACTTTGCTTGCAATGTATTTCATGGTTAATTGAATGTATGTGTAAAGTAATAATTAAATAAAGCATTCAAAGCACTCTATCGGTCCCATATTATACGTCGTTTTGGTGGTTATGCGTATATTAAAGTATTCAATAAATATGCATAAAATTATAATAAAGATAACATAGTAAATAGTAAAATATCCTTGTCATTAATTTTTTTAAATTAACTAATTAAGAGTGATAAATGGCAAAATTGATAAAAAGACAATTAATACTTTATTGAAACTCTAAAATGACAAATAATTTGGGACAAAAAACACGCCAAAAGACATATAATAAGGGACAGATGAAATAACTAGGTATGCTAAATATGGTAGTTGGAAGGCTATTAAGCGTTGGAGTATTCAATGGTATAGCGTTGGAGTATTCAATGGTATAGTTGGACGTATTTGCAAAGAAGAATTGGGTTTTGAACACCATAAAAATGATTGAAGAATCAAGTTTTTGTTGCATTAAAATATTTTGGAAGGAAAATTATTAAGTTGTTTCATGTTTGTGAAATAATTTTAATGGTGGTCAAGGTGATGGATATTCCGCGGCATATATAGACAAGTAATGAAGGCACGATTGTCATTTCCAACATAATCCTAGCTAGACACGGCCACGGGCCGGTTCCGGGCCGGTTCAAATCGGTTCACGGTTCACATTTTCCGGAACCGGAACCGGCTCGTAGTATGGGCGGTTCACCGGGTCGGGTCGGCCCGGAAATTTTGATTTTTTTTTTTTTTTGAAATATTTTATGAATAAGTAAATTAAAAGAAGTACTTTTAAATAAAAAAAATGAAAATGAAATAAATGAAAAGACTTGAACTTAATTTTAAATTCAAAATAAAAAGGAAAAAGAAATAAAATTTGGGGGGAAAAAAATTGGGTTGGGGTGTGATGGTATTTATAAGAAAAAATGGGGGGGGGAGGGGGAATTCAAAAAAAAGTAAATAACGGCCGGTTCACTAGCCGTTATTTGTTTTTTTTTTTTTTGAATTTATTTATTTATTTTTTAAATCCGGGTGAACCGCCGGGCCGGCCCGACGGGTCACGGTTCACCATTTCTCAGAACCGGGCCCGCCCCGGGTAGGACGGGCCGGTTCACGGGTCCGGGCCGGTTTGGGCCGTCAACGAGCCGGTTCGGGGCCCAAAACCGGCCCGTGGCCGTGTCTAATCCTAGCCGATCACCAAAATAAAATCACTGACAAAGATGATTATATAATCCTCTACGGCAGAAAATTGAATAACAAATAATTAATCCCACCAACCAAACCAAAAGTAGCCCTAAGGGGGTATAACGGGGTTACTATATTTTGAGGGGTACACGGTACACCAAATATAAATATAAATTATGCATTTTTATTTATTTTTTAGAAAAAATAAATTATGCGTTTTAATTAATGAATGAAAGTGATTGGTACCCGCACTTAGATATGGATTTGTTCGACACTACACCCGGTGATAAACATTGGGTGGGTCTTTTGTTGCCACGTGTCTCTTTTTTGTATTTTATAATAGATTTCCTGCTAGGGTTTACCTTTAGGGGTTTTAGAAAAATAAAAAAAGGAACATGTGGCAGCAGAAGACACACCTGGTGTTTATCACCGGGTGTAGGGTCGAAGGAACCCTTAATTATGTACATAGGGTTCTCCAATATTCCCACTATTATTTAAGGCTGTGTGTTGGTTGGGTTGATTAAAAACCAGTCATAAAACCAACTCAACTCATCCAACCAACTTTGATAAATATTGAAAACCGTTATCGATCCAACTGACATGGGTTGGGTGGTGGTTGATAACCAATTTAGTGAGTCGGTTGATGGTTTGGTTGATCTATCAAAATATTTTTTAGTATTTTATTAGTTGTTACAACACTATTTCTTTTACAATTAAATATGACTAGTTCAACAGTATTCGAATACAAAATTCAAAACAGTAGAGCACATGCCATATGTATTTCAATTAAACATAAATAATTTAACAATTAATGATCGACCAAATATTTTAGGCTATATATTTTAAAATTAAAATAGTTCAAATTAGATAATTATGTTGGATTTATTTGCTTTTAAGATTTTGATCAATATTAGATAATTTAATAAATGTGATATAAAATAGAAATTTGAAATTAAAAATATTAAACACTTTACATAAAATTAATAAATAATAAATTAATAAATAAAGTTGGTTGGCAGATATTACCTGACTAACCAACATTTTAGCATATTAGAAACGATTATCGACAACTACACATGGGTTGGTTGAAATTATCGACCAAACTTAAATAGGACAATTGATGGTTGATTATCCGTCACAAATTATAGATTGAAAATGGGTTAATTAATGGTTAAAACCGATCATGCAGCGTCCTACTATTATTGGACCAAAATAGTATTTTCTTAACAAACAAACTCAAATCAACGACAATAAATATTCATAGGATTGGATATGACACCATGTGATACCAATTACCAATAATGCTGACTATTGGTACTAGTATTTGAAATTGGAACAGATTTTCTGAATACTATAAAATTTTAAAATTTCTAATTTTAGAACATTTTTTTTTCAATTTCTCAATTCTAATTTTTTTTTCCCATAATCATTATTATGTATGTCGGAATTTCGGATTCCCGATTCGAACACTAATATGAAAGTTTTGATTATTTTTTTTCTTAAAAAATAAAATTATACTTTATATTATCGGGTCTTAACAAATAAGTCCATCAATGGGTACTTATTCATAAAGAGATCCAGACAAAAAACTCTTTTACCAATAAGTCCACACATGGTCCAGATTATCTTTACATATTTATAACCGCGTAACTTATGGAAACTAAATCTTTTCACGGCCCTTAGCGTGCAGCCGCCGTAACACTCTTCTTAGGGTTTAGATAGTGGGTCTGGATCAGTTGCTAGTTGGGCTTTATTCGCCCATGAGCTCCCTCTTGTTCTAACATACGCAAACTCCTTGGCATGGGTTAATCCGCTAAACGGGCCTCCCACTTGCGGCCCCTTTCTCATGGGCTGTGCAAATGGTGTTCTACATCTCGTACCTCAGGCCCAGCTAATCAGCTCCCATCACTAATTTATGGCGTCTACTATTTGTGACAAGATTGAATGTCATTTGTATAGGGGTGGTAAACGAGCCTCGCGAGCCGGCTCGAAAAATGCTCGAACTCGAGCTCGAGCTTCGGACGAACTCGAGCTCGAGCCCAAAATTAGTTGTTCGACAGCTCGCGAGCCGGCTCGTGAGCTGCCTTCTATTTTTTTTTTTTCTTTTTTATTTTTACATATATATATTATTCTTATTCTTATTATTATTATTATTATTATTATTATTATTATTATTATTATTATTATTATTATTATTATTATTATTATTATTATTATTATTATTATTATTATTATTATTATTATTATTATTATTATTATTATTATTATTATTATTATTATTATTATTATTATATTTATGGGTAAATTCCACTTTCCCCCTTATACTTTAGCTCGATATCAATTTATCTTCTTCTACTTTCGATTACATCGGTTTGCTCCTCTGTACTTGAAAAATTATCTCAATGTGGCCTTATTATTAGTTGTCAGACATTTGTCCAAGACAACGAGAAAACATAGTCCACGACGGCAACCACAATTATTTTTAATTTTTAATAATTATTTAAACTGAGATGGGTGATTTTTTTCTAATTTTCACACTTATATCAAACGGTGTTAAGGTTAAATGTCTAAAAAATAATGGCGATGGTCACAGTGAGACAATTTTTCAAGTACAACTGTACAAGGGAGCAAATCGATACAATTAAGAGTAGAAGAGAGTAAAGTGATATCAAGCCCAAGTACGAGGAGGGAAAGTGGATTTTGCCCTTTATTTATTGTTGTTGCATCACCATTGTATTGTGTTTACATTTAATTTTTACTTTTAATCACTTATCTACAATTTTTTTTTTATATAAATACGTTTTATGTGTGAAATTTTTAAAATTGAAATTTATTTATATATGCTACTCAAATTTAATTAACAAATAAATGTCGGCATTAGACACGGGTATAATAAGAAAATAACGTCATTCAGACATTATTGATGTTCAGTTATCAAATGGATATAATTGTTCAGCGTTTAACATTCAGATAGTTATTCAAAGCTCAACATTTAGCGCTTAATCCTGTCAAATCTAAGTATTGTAAATAGATATTCTTAACTTCCCTTATACAATATATAAGTATTCTAAATATATATTCTTAACTTACGTTATATAAAATATTTCTTACATAAATTTATAACATAAAAACTCATAGGGTCCATTAGATATACACCCCTTATATGGAAAATATATAGGGATAGGTCCACCCCTAAAATTCTTCCTTTGAGATACCACCTGGAGAGGCAAAAGTAATAATGTGACCTGATGTGCAATTTTCGCCCAACTGCATTAAGTATTTTTGCAAACTACATTCAACATCATTGGTCAGCTGCATTTAGCATTTATGGACTTGTATTTATCATTTTTATAGATTTATTTAATAAAAAAATATAAATATTTATTTTATTATTATATTTTATATATACCCTCTTTTGTATTTTATTATTACTATTTTTATACTTTTTAATTATTTAATTATTTTATTTTTTTAATTTTTAATTTTTAAATTTTTTAATTTTTAATTTTTTTAATTTTTCTTTTTCAAAATTTTGATAAATTTACTAAACTGAAATTGACTAGACATGACTATAGTATAACACAGTCATGTATAGTTATATGTAGTCATGTACTGTCTTTTAACCCCAAAGTTATGTAAACCGTTGATTATATAAAAAAGATCACTATACATGTGCAATATACATTCAATAAATCTTCCGTCCTTCTGGTTCTAAGCTCTTGTGCTTGTTTCTTCCAACGGTGTCTGTATCAGTCCATCATTTTCCTCTTCCACTGCCCTTCTTCATTTTCATCTCCTACCTATCTCTCTCCTACTTCTTCCCTCTCCCCTCTCTCCTCATTTATTTCGCCATTTTTATTTTTCCCCCCCTCCGCACTCAATGGAACCACCCAACTCCATTAATGACCTAATATCCCAAACCACCACTCTTGCCTTCACTGACGAAAATGATTGCTCCCCAATCATGGAAAATGAATTCACCATTTTGGCTAAAATCCTTTCTGATAAGACCATTAACATGGGATCTTTCAAAACGACTATGCTCAAGGTTTGGAATCCCAAAAAGAAAATACAGTCTAATTATTGGGAGCCAAATTGGCACATTCATTTAAAAATTCCCTACGAATTCTTGTTGACATTGATATCTCCAAACCCCTTCTCGACCACATCTATGTTCCTGATACGATCTCTTGAGTGTCATAAGATTTCTTTACTAAACGTAAGAAAACTCTTCTTTATTATTTCTCTTCATAATCAAAACCCTAGCACAATACGACTATTTAAAGAGAATAAAACCCTAGAATCTTAATCGAACTAGAAAAGATAACTACCTATACTAATAAAATACTTAATAATCCTCCTATCACTAAACACACGGCTATATCTATATCCTAAATATACTATTTTAATTAATTAATAATTAAATATTAACTAAACCAATAATTAAATAATAAACTAAATAATATATCGTATCAAACCACCCCTCTTGAAATGAACCTTGTCCTCAAGGTTCGAGTCAATTTGGTTCCTCTCCTTTGCGTTTCCACCTATGTTTGACTTCATCGAATTGCTTCCCGATTGATTCCGAAAAGCATGATGAAAAATCGAGCTCTTTTCCAAATATGAGTCCATCTGCCCGAACGAAATTTCTCAATATCTTACCCGATAAATCAACCTTCGTCTCAATTGTCTTTTCAAGTTTCGTCTTCCTTAGATTCACCGTAACTTTTTCTTCGACTGTCTTTATAGAATCTGGCTCACTCACAATCACAAGCACTTCTTCGTTTCCTTTCTCCGGGAAGTCGTGGCATCCTTCCACTATATTTTTTAATTCTTTGTCCTCCTCGCTACTTAACTTCTCGTGCCCGTTCCAAATTATCTCACTTAAGACGAGTGATTCTTCAATCTCCTCATTGGTTAATTTCTCGTCTTCATCCCAAATTACTTCAACTAAATCCGATAATTCTTCTTTCGGCGAACTCACAAAAAATTGGGGTTCTTCGAAAAAATCATCGTCGTCTTCTTCCTCTCCCTCCGGCGATAGGCTCGGCAACGGCGGCAGTGATGGCGGCGGTGGCGTTGGCGGTGATGGGTGGCGATGATGGCGTTGACGTCGTCCTTGACTTTGTTCGAGCAATTTCTGAAAATTAATCCGCAATTTCTCCACGGATTTCTCCAATCGCTCCAACCGTCTTGTTTCTGACATCATGATTTTCACAAAGTTTTGATGTGATCTCAACTTTGCTCCAGCTTAGCTTTGATATAATCGCTGCCTTGCTAACGAAGCGTTGGTGTTAATCGCAACTTCGCTCTGATACCAATTGATACGATCTCTTGAGTATCATAAGATTTCTTTACTAAACGTAAGAAAACTCTTCTTTATTATTTCTCTTCATAATCAAAACCCTAGCACAATACGACTATTTAAAGAGAATAAAACCCTAGAATCCTAATCGAACTAGAAAAGATAACTACCTATACTAATAAAATACTTAATAATCCTCCTATCACTAAACACACGGCTATATCTATATCCTAAATATACTATTTTAATTAATTAATAATTAAATATTAACTAAACCAATAATTAAATAATAAACTAAATAATATATCGTATCAGTTCCCTGTGAGAGCTGACATCCTTGTGGAAATTAGTAGATGGTTATACCATCTACTAATTCCTCTCCACTTCTCCTACTGGGACAACAATTTTTTGGAGCTCTATTAATGATCTCTCTTCTTCCATCTCAGTCCCTTGGCTTATCATTGGAGACTTCAACTCCATTACCTCAAATTCTGAAAAACGAGGTGGAGCGCCTTTTGCTTCCTCTTCCAAACAAAACCTCTCGTCTGAATTTAATAACCTTGGGCTCCATTCACCTGGAATAATAAAAAAGAGAGGGTCTTGCTAATATTCAGCAGAGAATTGACAGAGGGGTTGGCAATTCCCAATGGCTCACTCTCTTTCCCCATGCTAGCATTCTCCATCTACCTGCCATATCCTCCGATCACAATCCCCTTCTCCTCAATACTTCTATTGATTCAAACCCTCCAAAACCTTTTAGATTTGAATCCATGTGGTTGGATGATAAATCTTGTTTTGATACAGTGCACATTGGTTGGAACCAACAAGTTACTGGCTCTCCCTCTTTAAAACACCACTCCAGAATTCAAAATGTGAAAAATGCTCTAAAGCTCTGGAATACCAATCATTTTAGAAATTGCCATAAAAAAATAAAGGAGCTGAAAATTCATATTGAATCTGTCCAAAATTTGGATAAATCTGCAAACAATATAGCTATTGATGCAGCTCTCCAGGTTGAACTTGATATATGGCTGGCTAGAGTTGAAACATTTTGGTGGCAAAGATCGAAGGACAAATGGCTCAAAGACGGAGATGCCAATACCAAGTATTTTCATTTATCTACAATTTTGCATGCTAGAAATAATAGAATTTCATCCATCAAAAGCATGAATAATATGATTTTCTTTGAAAGAAATAGCATTGGAAATTGTTTTGTGAAATTTTATTCTGATCTTTTCACTTCTGATTTTAATCCAAACCACCCCCCTTTCCCTGCTGATCTGGAGAATCTTTTTCCCTCCATTTTGAATAATAATGATAATATTGATCTTTGTGAGATTCATTCCCATGCTCTTATAAAAAAAATCCTCTTCTTCTTTGCCACAAACAAGAGCCCAGGCCCTGATGGTCTCCCTCCCACCTTCTTCAAAAATTTTTGGAAAACCACAAAAAAGGCTTTGATTGAAGCTATTCAACACTTTTTCAAAACTGGCCATTTGCTCAAAGCTCTAAATTGCACCTTCATTGCTCTTATACCAAAAGGCAAAAAAGCCTCTAGAGTTGATCAACTCAGGCCAATTAGTTTATGTAACGTTACTTACAAAACTATTTCAAAAATCCTTGCTTGCAGGCTTAAAAGTCATCTTAATAGATTCATCTCCCCTTTCCAAATGGCTTTTGTTTTGGGTAGGAATATCCATGACAACATTATTATATCTCATGAAGTCATGCACTACCTTCACCACAAAAGTGGTTCCAAAGGTTTCATGGCTATCAAAATTGATCTTACAAAAGCATTTGACAAAGTTGAGTGGAGTCTTGTCTTGAAAATTCTTAATCTTCTTGGTTTCTCTAATCAGTTTGTTAATTTGATTCAGGAATGCATCTCTTCTCCTAGTTTCTCTTTTTTGATTAATGGCTCTCCATTTGGCAATCTTAGGCCTTCAAGAGGAATCAGACAGGGCGATCCAATTTCCCCTTTTCTGTTTGTTATTTATATTGAGCTTCTATCTAGAATGCTTGCTAAAGAAGAACAGTTAAATCACTTTAAAGGGATAAAAATTTCCAGAACAAGCCCTTCAATCTCTCATTTACTGTATGCTGATGATCTTGTTATTTTTTGTAGGGCAACCACTGAAGATGCTCTTTGCATTAAAAATGTTCTGGAAAAATTCTCTATTTGGTCAAGCCAATGTGCTAATAAGGATAAATCTTTGGTCCACTTCAGTAAAAACACTCCCTCTCAATAAAAAATTGACATTCTTAATAGCCTTGGCTTCAAGGAGTGCAACCACAAAGCCAAACACTTAGGTCTCCCTTTCTGCCATCCAAAGTCCAGGAAAGATTCTTTTACTGATGTTTTTGATAAAATTTCATCAAATCTGAGTGGTTGGAAATCAAAAAACCTTTCCCAAGCTAGTAGAACAATTCTCCTCAAAGCTGTTGCTCAAGCCATCCCTTCTTACACCATGTCAGTCTCGTTAATCCCCAAGGGAATCTGCAATATGATGGATGCAAAGCTTCGAAAATTCTGGTGGGGGGAAAATTGTAATGAGAACTCCTTAATGCTGAAAACCTGGGACTCTATTTGTTCTCCCAAATCAAGTGGTGGCCTTGGCTTTAGAAGAATGTTTGATCTTAACAAAGCCCTTTTCTCAAAAATCACTTGGAACGTGGCTGCCAACAGTGACAAGTTGTGGGTTTCCCTGCTCAAATCTAAATACCTGAGAGGGAAGTTTTTTCTTCATGATAATCTTTCCTCTAATGCTTGTTATTGGTTATGGACTGACATTAAAAATTATAGAGATCTTATTCTTAAGGGTGCTTGTTTTCATATTAACTCTGACTCTGATGTGCTTATTTGGCAAGACCCTTGGATCACCTCATTGCCTGGCTTTAAACCTTCCTAAAATCCTCAAAACCTGAATCCCATCTCCCCTTTACTTGTCAAAGAACTCACTATTGAAGAGAGTTTATCTTGGAATTTTGACCTTCTCAACCTCACATTCCCTCCTCTTGTGGTGAAAGAAATCAAAAAAATCCATATCTCTCATTTGGCTTTGCCAAAAACTCTTTCTGGAGCCCCTCCAAGTCAGGGAATTTCTCCTCAAAGAGTGCTTACCTGGTTGATCAATCCCGCCGATTCCTTAACCTAGACTCTTACCAATCTTTCAATTGGAAAAATCTTTGGAATTCAAAGCTTCACAATATGCACAAGTTACTTTTTTGGCGGATTATTAATGATATTCTTCCCACCAAATCTAAGCTTAATTGTCTTTTCCAATCAAGCAACCTTGATTGCCTTTTCTGTGATAATTGTGTTGAAAGTGCCGACCATCTTTTTGTTGATTGCCCTTTTATTCATCATGCATGGTTTTGTTCTAAATGGAATTTTAGAATGGATCATTTCTACAATACCCCTATCAAGGAGTGGCTTTCTCTTATTTTTGATAAAAAAATAACAATTTTTTCCCCTCTTCGAGCATCAAGGATGAGTTTATTATTTTCACTGCAGTGCTTTTTGATTTTGTTTGGTTAAATAGAAACAAAAAAGCTCATAATTCTCCTTATCTTAATCCACAGGTTCTCTCTAGGAAAGCGAACCAGAGTGCTAATACCCATTGGAAAAGTCAAATCACCTCCCACACCAGTACTAAATCTTCACCCAACCTTTCATGGATTCCTCCTCCTTTTGATTGGCTAAAGATTAATAATGATTCTTCATTTGATGATGGGATTGCACACTCTAGCTGCATTATCCGAAACTCCAACGGCTCCATTTTGCTTGCCCACTCTACAGCTCATGTCTGTCTTGAAGCCCTTGCAGCCGAAGCTCTTGCAGTTTTGGAAGCTTGCAAAATCCTTAGCTCTGCAAGAATTAAAAATGCTATTTTTGAAGCTGACTCCCTCGACGCCATCTCCTTCATTGTTAGTGACTCTTGCCCCGTGCATTGGACTGCTAAGGTGGTAATCGAGGAAATCAAAAAGTTCAGTGGATTATGGCCGAAATGGCGCTTTAAATATGGTAGCCGTAATTCAAATTTTGTTGCCCATTCTCTTGCTAAATGGGTTTGTTGCTCTAATTGGGATGGGATTGTTCCTCCTGATCTTATCCCCCTGGTTTGTTTTGGTGATGGGGGACACCCTCTTGTAGACTCGTTTATTTCCTGTCCTTAATTTAATTATTAATTATAAAAAAAAAAAAGATCACTATACATCAGAAAAACCACATAGCTTGTATATATCTATATATTACTACATGGAATTATACATGACTATAGTTATCTATAGTTATCTATAGTTATCTATAGTCATCTATACGACTATATTTGACTCAAATCCCACTTTTCAATATGAGAACGACTTGTTTTGAACGACGAACACAAAGTCAACTCCGCAAAAACTTACTACATAGTAGTTCAAACACCAAGACCTGTGAAAAAGAAAAAAGAGTTAAACAAACAACGAATTTTGCTTCAAATTTGAATCTGCACACACACACACACACTATCACCTACTAACATACATAAACATCACCAACATATACTCCCCACATAACTCATACACGACTACATGTTACTATATTTTACTATATAATAAAAATCATAAAACATAAATTTCAAGAGGTAAATCATAAAATTGGACCTAAAAGATTCACCAAGCATACAAAATTTCATTAAATTACGACAAGCATGTCATTCAAATGGCAGAAAAAAAAAATCCAAATTAGAATATTATGTAATAAACTAAAAAATGCACACACACACAAACAAAGAACTTGATCAAACACGAAACTGATTAAAAAATCTAGCCAATTGAAACAAAATATTAGTTGACCCGAAGAATCAGAGTCGAATTAAAATCGAGTACAAATGACTATAGTGTACTACAAGTCCATATGTTACTAAATGTGACTATATATGATTGCAGTCATCTGTAGTCATATATAGTTTTATATAGTAAAATTCGTAGTAAATTTAAGTTTTAACAGAAGTTTTATATTGCTAATCCCTTCTTAATTCTAAGCTAACTCCTACACCAACAAATAAGTAATAGTTATAACTGATAATAGGAAAAGCAAACTCCAACAAATCTCCAATTATTATAGAAAAAACAAACTCCAACAAATAGCCAATTATAATGAAATTGTAGCCAAATTAGCTAATTAAGCCACAGATCTTCACCAAAATCAAAACATACTAACAGAATGAACAAAATTAACACTCCCTGCCATTAATTATTACGAAGACGAACTAAAAACATGCGATTATTTACTTCAAACATTATAATTTGCAACCTTACCAAGCTAGAAACTCGTGCGGTGGAATACCGATTCCGTTCGTCGATTGCAGCCGGGATACAGATCTTATTCTCCGGCAATACAAATCGTCGTTGAAATACGGATCCCGTACGGCGGAATATGGATCTCGTTCTTAGTGTGGGCAGCAGCGGGGGGAGCAACATCGTCGGACGGCGACGGAGGGAGTAGCGGCTGCTTGCGGCGGCGACGGAAGGAGCAGCGGCTGATTGCGGCGGCGGGGGAGCTACGGCTCCATTCTCGGCGTGGGGAGCAACGGTAGCGGGTAGCGGCGAGGGGAGCAGCGGCGGCGGCGGCGCAAGTCGGGGGAGAAGCAGAGGTGGCCATGATTGTGGATTGAGAGAGAAAGAGAGAGTTAGAGAGAGAAGAAGAGAAAAATGGGGAGAGATGTAACGTGATAGAGAGAGAGAGAGTTAGAGAGAGAATAAGAGAATGAGGGGAGAGATCTAACGGCTGAATGAGTGAAGAGAAAAACCAGGGTTTTAAATTGTAACTAATAGAGCAAAACGGGTATTTCAATTTATGTAGGGGGGTCTCACTAATTAAGATTAGAATTTGAGTTTTTTTGACTAGGAAAGAAAAATTCATGGGACCTATCCCTATATATTTTCAAAACTAGGGGTATCCCACATTTCCCTAAACTCTTAACATAAATTATATCATCATTAATGAAAGTATTCAAAAATATTTTTGACATACCTAAAAAGTACAACTACATTTATATATGAACAGTACGGTATGATACGGTAATTATTCGGTATAAAATTTTTGGTAGAGAGTGGGTAGGGTTCAGTAGGGCAACATGTTGGTAGAGAAATATGGTTTAAAAAAATAATAATAAATAAAAAAATTCCACCACTAACAGTAGCGGTTAAAATTGGAGTCAAAATTAGATTAATAATCAAAATTGGTTAATTGGTGAAATTATGACTAAATTAGGAAATAAATCGTGAAATTGAAATTAAATTAGAATTTCATGGAGTTAGAAGTAATTTTGATATTTATGAAAGAATTTTTGTTATTAGCAAATAAATATGAACTGGATGTATATAATTGCTAAAAAAAATAAGTAAAATATATTTCTTTTAATTAAATGCCCTTTCGGTTCCCCCTTAAAATTATAGCAACTTTATATCTGCCTTAATAACTTCAATTTTCACACCAAACAACAATGGTACATTATTTGGGTTTGTCTCCACTCGTTCAAAAATGCATCCTATAGCATTCGAGCTTCTAACCCCATTAAAACATACAAGAATACTAACCATTGGGATACAATACATTATTGAAAATTATCTAAAAATAAGCATATATATAACAACGCTATAGTGTATAATGATTATAAAACTTATATAAATAAGAGTAAAAAGCAGTTTGCCCCTTAAACTATGACTCGTTTTGCGCTTTGCCCCCCAAACATTTTTTTTGAATGTTCTTACCTAAACTCGTTTTTTTGTTGCATGGTTCCCTAAAGTGGTATTTTCCGGCAAATGTCACCGGAATCTCTCGCACGTGCCATTCACGTGAGATTCAGAGGGGTAAATTTGTCTTTTTACTTTTATTCTTGTATGACTTCAATTTTTCTTATAGAGCCAATCATGGCTATGAATATGATTACTTCTTTCCATCTCCAAAGTCGTTTGTGCACCAATTTCTAGGCAAAACAAATTTCAACAATCAAAACAAATCATAAATCATCTGGACATTCCCCAAACACACACTAAAGATATTATCGGCCCCACAACAAATTCAACCCCTACAAAAAAAATTTGTTTCGGGGGCAAAGTGCAAAACGACCCATAGTTTAGGGGGCGATCTGCGTTTTACGCTATAAATAATGTTAAAAAAATTGCTAATTCTCATATAATTATTATTATTATATATTAAAAATATCCAATATTAACAATCTATATATAATAAATTTTAAAAATCTAAGAAAATACAAATCAACTCGTGTGATTTAAAAATGAATTTGAAGTTTGAATTGAATCTTAAATCGTAAGATTTGAATCAATTAAGCTCATGTGTGTTTAATTCGAAAACAATATTCAAAGATTTGAAACGATTAAGCTCAAGTCATTTAAATTCGTAGACAATATTCAAATATTTAAATCAGTTATACTCAACAATTTACAAAAACGTATTAATCGAAGTAACTATGTATAGTTAAAGTTTACTATTTTTTGTATTGAATTTTATCATAAAAAGAATAAAACTTAATTTGTAAAAATAGTAAGATCGTAAGATTTAATCAATTCAAATATTATGGTTAGATTAAATCTTACGATTTACGATTTGATTCCTACAATTTTTAAAAATTAAATTTATTTTTATTTTTTATTAAAATTGAATTAAATGGATATTAGACTTTTTAATTATAAATAGTTAACTCGATAAATACGTTCTTGTCAATGATTGAACTTAATCGATTCAAATCTTTGAAACATATTTACAAATTGAACGAACTTGAGCTTAATCGATTCAAGTCTTACGATTTTATTCTTATATATGTTAGGAATTAAAGTTATTATTTTTCAATGATAAAATTGAATTAAAAAGAAATTAGACTTTAATTATAAATAGTTGCTTCAATTAATATGTTCTTATTAAATATTAAGCCTCATGGATTCAAATCTTTGATTAGCGTTTACTAAGTGAAAGGATTTGAGCTTAATCTATCAAACTAGTACTTCACCCGTGCGTTGCACGGAAGTCAATTTCAAAATGAGTAAAATAATAATATGTAAATGATTATCTCTTTATAACAACACCAATTCAAGTAAAATGAAATAGAAGGAAATAAAAAAAAAACATAAATTTTGTCTCTTAATTAAGAGTTGTAAAATATGAAATTCAATTAAATATTACAAAAAAAAAAAAGGGGAAGCGAGCAAAAAAAACGATATGAAGATTAAGTGAAATCAGTTTAAACACATGGTATAACTCTATTTCATTGAATGCAATCTACTGCACCATGTAAATCTTCTGCAAAATAACTAACTTAACAACAAATATAGTAGCAGATAAGTAAAACAATAGATATTCAAATAACCTGCAAGTTTATCACTAACGATGTTCAATTAGTGATGCACATTACTCAAATAACAATACAACTTATAAATACTGCAAAAGAGATAAGATGTATACGCCACTACCAATACTCATACTAATGTTGTTACCAATACCGATACCGATACTGATACTAATATTGATATCGATTTTGATATCAATAGTGATACTAATAATGATACTAATAATAATAGAACTAATACTAATATTAATAATAATACTAATACATATACATATACTAATACTAATACTAATATTAATACTAATACTAATAATAATATTAATTATAATACTAATAATAATAGTGATATTGATACTGATATTGATATTGATACTGATATTGATACTGATACTGATATTGATACTCATACTAATATTAATACTAATATTAATACTGATACTGATACGGATATTGATACTGATACTGAAACTGATATGTATACCGATACAAATACTGATATCGATACTGATACTGATACCGATATTAATACTAATACTAATACTACTTAAATAACAATACAACTTATACCAAATACTCACACTATAATGATAGTATTATTGATACAAATACTAATACTAATACTAATACATATACATATACTAATACTAATACTAATATTAATAATGATACTAATAATAAGATTGATATTGATATTGATATTGATACTGATACTGATATTGATACTGACTCATACTGATACTCATACTCATAGTAATATTAATATTAATACTAATACTAATATTCATACTAATAGTGATACTCATACTAATACTGATTCTCGTACTCATA